ATTTTACCGCTGGAGGAATTTGAAAAGGACGGCTGGGATTAAAGACGAATGATAAGATAGAAATGTATGTTATTTTAGAATAGATAATGTATATAAAATTTAATGTATATGTAGAGATAATGAATTGATTGTAAAATATGATATAATCTGATAAGAATGTATATACTGGAATGTCACGTCAAATCCAATGTTTTTTTTTAATTGTTTTATAAATAAAAAGTTTAATAAAAAAAAAAAGTACAATGTAGTGAATTCATGCAATGAATCGGTCCTAGAGACACCTGCTATAATTCAAATTCGGAACTGCTGAAACGAATGCCTTTTATAAGGACAATTCAAACATGCATCTTTCCAGCTACCATACGTCAAGCAGACGCGTCTCACGGCTTCGAGGGCAGAAAGCCTGAGAGCCTTTTAAAAGTCTGGACTTCAATTCCCATCAATCCAACCAGGAGTGGCGCTTGGCAAAGGCTCCTGGGAATTAAAACAACCTGCTTCTTGCACGCTGCAGCTTACGTCCGTCACCCGCTGCTACCCTTATCGTGGATCTGAATCCGCAGTAAGGCAGCTTCATGCCAGCAAAAGCGCGAGCGCATCTCCCACGCCTGACCGCGGACCGTGCCGCAGATAACCGGCGGGGCAGCGCTGAGCGTGGATCCTCCGAACTGGGCGATCGCGGCGCCTCGCGGCGGCGAAAGGAAGCGGCGACCGACCGACCACGCGCTTCGAAGCTGCGAAATCCTCGGCGGATCCAAGGGGGCGGGTCCCGAATGTTCTGTGCGGGAGATGGGAGGGCTGCTTTAAAGGCGGCGGGGCGGGTTGGAGGCTCGTCGCGCCCCCTCCGCGGAGCATGGCTTGGCTGGGTTGGTTGCTGTGGATTTGGGCTCTGATAACCGCTCTCGCCGTTTCGGGTCGCCGGGCCTTGAGTTACGCTTTTTACCGCTGCGGGAACAGGCAGCGTTCGCCCCAAACGCCCATGGCTGTGGCGGGTCACCTGCTGTTCCGCATTGGGTAAGTCGAGGGGGGGGTACTGGAGCGGAGGGGGACGCACTTTTTTCGTAGGGGCTACAAGAACGCGCTCTGGGGCTAGCACATGCTTGGGCTGATAGGATGCACTCCCCGATCTGCTGCACCTGGAAAGGTCTCGGCGGGATGAATGGTGAGACGTCGGGGAGCTTGAGACGGGGGACTTAGGCTGCTAGATCTGAACTGCAAAAATCAGGGTGGCCGCTAAACGGCAGCCAAGAGTTTTCTGCGGATTTTTTTTTTTTTTTTTTTTTTTGCAGCCTGGTTATAGAATAGCCGGCGTACGCGTGTCGAGTTTTCTCGTGTTTCTTTCGGGGTGCAACGCGATAATCTGAAGTCATTGTTCCAGGGGTTCATGCTTCGGGCTCAGCGGGGTATCTGCTTCGATCCAAAAGGATGCATAACATTTGCTTCGGTCGGGGAATGACAGTCTGTTCAATTGCGGGGAGAGTTTATATGCGCCTGCGCGGGGGGATTAACTGGGTTTTGCAAAGCGAACGCGGAGGAGGAATTCGGCGGCTCTGTTAGTGGGCGAAAGGAACGATAGGTCAATAGGGACAAGGCTGCTTGCAGGGTTCAGGGAGAGCCGGCCGGGTTACATTTGCGGGATTGGAACAGCAACGTTGTCCAGGGGCGTCGCGGCACCCAGAAGCAACCCTACGGAGAAGAGGCCGACCGCGACGCTTTGCAGGGCAAAGATTAGATTTAAGCCGGTTTAAGAAACTGCCGGTGTTTGCTTTGCGGCCAGGAAAGACGCTCTTTGTACTGTAGGCGTGGGTACTACTGGGAGCAGGCTAGTGCGGGGCTGGATTGATTGGAAATGATGGATGCCTGCGCATCAAAGGAACACCGGGATCCGAACCTGCATGCGTAATCAGTGGCTTTGCGCAGGTAGCTCGCTCTTAAAGGGAGCGGAGAGGTTCGCGGGGCGGCGGCGACATAGAATACAATAGGTGTCTGTTCCCCTCCTCCCAAATCGAAAGTTAGAAAGAACGAGATTCTGCTGTGCGCAACTTTTGTGGGATTTTTTTATTTTTATTTTTTGCCTACGGCGGTTGCTTTTTGGTGGTTTTTTCCGAAAGAGCTGGAGCATGACGAGCATGTTTTCTGGAAATGCCTGTCATTCAAAAGAAAGAATGACAATAGCGTTACTATACTGCTCTCGCTTCTTTACCGTTTAGCATAAGCGCATTTCCCTCTTTTCCAGGGATCCCCCTTGGGTGGTGGGGAAGAGCGTCGCAGACCCATATGCTTTATATACGGTAAAAAAAAATAAAAATGACTGGGCCGACCCTTAGTACTTTCACGTGGAACTGGGAAACCTCTCTGCTTAAAAATCCCAGAAAATCATTGTGTTAATCATGCAGATAGTAATGGTTCATCAGTGACTTGGCTCTCTAAAACGGCATGTGCTTCATTACTTAATCATTTAGCTCCGATTTCTGATCCTTGTATTCATTTTATGTAAAAAATAAAATAAAATTTAATGCTGAATTTAGAGCCATGTGGGAATACAGTTGAGTCCCAATTTGAAGGAGGGAGATGAGATGGTGAGAAAGCAACACAAACTGTCAAGATAAGACTGATATTCCAAGGAATATCAAGTAAACAGAATGCTTGCTTACATAAAACAAAAAGGGCACAGCCTCTGCAGAAGAAAAAGCCTTGCAAAATGTGCTGCATGTGATATACTGTACATGCGATATAGAGAAAAAGGGGCATTATGTTTTCTAATAATAGTTCTTCAAACTCTCTTCCCCAATCTTCTGTGATTAAAAAGGCGATTGCCTTGAATAGATGGTTACAGATTAGGCCTTAGAACAAGAACAATAACCATGAAATAATAGACCCATGAGCCATTAGGAACTTAGAATACCGCCCCAAAGTCCCCTAACCCCCTAAGTGCTTTCTTTACCCATCTATTACTAAAGGCAAGACACTTGAGAATGGAGATGGTTGGAAATACATAACTCACTAAAAATGAACAGAGCTGTAGGTTTTAAAGGAGAGTGCCAGATTCTGCTGGGAACAAAGAGGAGGAAGTCAGAAATTATTTTTGGAAACAAGCTTAAATTCCTAACACAGAATTCTCTTTTGTCCCTGGCTCTTCCAACACAGGCAAGTGCATTTACAATATCTTTTTGAGAATCGGTGAAAGGAAAAACCTCCCAAACTTTTTCCAACCAATTTTCCTCTTCTCTCAAAAGTCTCCATTCTGAGTTTGGATGCAGATCTTACAGAAGCAAATATGCGAAGAATAAATTTCCTGTATTCTAATTATTCGGTGAAATTAAAGTTACTCTGTCTATGGGTAGTTTCTTACATGTTTGCATTCTGTGTTTGTTCCTTCCTTCCTTCCTGAAATATTCCCAAAGGTGCTTTTGCCAAACTGGACTTTATTGGGTTTTTTTCCCTTTGAAAAAGTTTTGCTTCTCATCCAAGAAGCTTCTTCAGTTCTAACTGACTGTAGGGGAATGGTAATATTTACCGTATATTCTTTGCAGTCATCTGGTTGTTAGCATTTTGAGGATGAGTTGTTAGGTCACTGAGAGTAGTTGAGGCCACTTGGAGGTTTATCTGTGTCCTCAAAGTCACGCAAATCAGAGTAAAACAGGTGTGGAACCTTCTTGGGACTGCTAAAAGGACTGCGTTGTAGATAGGAGATAGGTGGGTGTCATATCTCTCCCCCTCTGTTGAGGGAGGGCTGTTCAGTTTTAACATAGATGGTTCCTTTGACTCCTCTTTCAAGCTAGTGGTCCTCTTTGTTCAGAATGTGAACTTTTTCACATTCACATAATGAAACGTTTTCAAAGAAAAAAACCAAGAAAGTCCAGTTGCCTTTTGGAAAAAGTACCTTTGGGACAACCAGGGCTTGGATGATTGAGACTCTCTTAGCCATTCCTAAAATACGAGTAGTATGTATGAAGTTTCCAGACAGCATTTTACCCATAATACGGTCAAGTTATCCTTGAATCGATCTTGACTCCTAGTGATTTTGGCAATAAGATGGAAGTGATTTGATGCTGCTTTCAGAATTTGTTGACTTCCTACAGCCCTAGGATTTCCTGTTGGTCTCCCATCCAAGTATCAATTTGCTTAGCTTTTTCAAGATCAGTCTAAGTCAGCAAGGGCTGCCACCAACTTGGTTTTGCATCGAGGTATTGATCAACTTCAGTAAGATAGCTGAACTGTTGGTTACAGGTTATAGTTTGAGCAATGCCATCTCTTCAATCTTAGGGTTTAATTCCTTTCTCCTCCTGCCATACTAGTACAGGTTGCAAAGCTGTGACCCCAGAGAAGCCCAGATGAAAAATGATGAGGCACAAAAGGCTGAAAATATAAATTCTACAGGTCTATGTAGGAAGTATTACCAGGGAGCCTAATGAGCTGATTCCTTGCCTTTCCCGAAAGACATCTTAGTTTGGTTTTTACTGCAAAGTCAGATCTTTATGCTGATATCCTCCAAATTACCAGTGTATGAATCCATGTTTGCTTTCTACTTTTTTTGGCTTATGGCGCAAAGGATTCATAGACTTATATAGGTAATCTTTGACTTACGACCATTTGCTTAACAACCATTCAAAGTTACGATGGACTTTACTTATGATCCATCCTCTAAGTTATAACTGCTGATCCACTCCTGTGGACCTGTGATGGCATTCCAGGAGTTTGGCAACCAGCTTGCATTATCACTGTTGCAGCATCCCATAGTCACATGACCATATTTTGTGACTTTTTTTTTTTTTGCTGTTTTCTAGCAAAGAACACCCATTCGATAAGCTGGATTCAGACTTAAGACCAAGTAATTCGCGTAATGTGATTTGCTTAATGATTGACATACAAAACAGTTGTAAAATGAAATGAAGTCTAGTCATTTGGTGACTTAATTAATGACTGCAACAAATTATAGCCAAAATTCCAGAGTTAGTTGTGGTGTAAATTGAGGACTACCTGTAAGTGTACTAAAGTGGGGATTTCAAACGTGGAAAATAGTTCTTTGCAGGCTTATGATCCTGAGGATAATTTTCAGGAGATTAGTAATCTGACTTTGATTTAATCAAGGCATAATCTTAGTGAAATCTCCATTTGTAATCCTCTGGCTTAATGAAAAGGGAGATGTCGGATGCATTGTTGAGTCATGGGTAGATTTTTCTTGCAGAGTGAGATTCCTTTTTTAATATGCATAAATTGAGAAGGGAAGAAGAAAGCCAATAAACTAAACTAGCAATAGCACTTAGACTTATATACCACTTCATAATGCTTTATAGCCCTCTCTAAGCGGTTTACTGAGTCAGCATATCGTCCCCACAATCTGGGTCCTCATTTTAACAACCTCGGAAGGATGGAAGGCTGAGTGAACCTTGAACTGGTCAAGGTCGAACTCCTAGCAGTGGGCAGAATTAGCCTGCAATACTGCATTCTAACCACTGCACCACCACAGCTCTACATGCAGTTTAGGAAGCTGTCACCCTGCACTAGTCTCTTGCTTGCATGCTTTATAGATGATAGTTGGAAACCAGATGGAGATGGGTTTTAGCTACCTGGTGATTCAGGCAGAATTATCTGTATAAGTAGTCCTCGACTTACGACCACAATTGAGTCCAGAATTTATGTTGCTAAGTGAGACATTTAAGTGAATTTTGCCTCATTTTACGACTTTTCTTGCCACAGTTGTTAGGTGAACCACTCAGTTGTTAAGTTAGTAACACAGTTGTTATGTGAATGACTTCCCCTTTGACTTTGCTTGTCAGGATGTCGCGAAAAGTGACCCCCGGGACACTGAAACGGTCAGAAACATGAACCAGTTGCCAAGCATACAAATTTTGATCACATGACCATGGGGATGCTGCAACGGTCTTCAGTATGAAAAGGGGTCATAAGTCACTTTTTTCAGTGCTGTTGTAACTTTGGTCACTAAATGAACTGTTGTAAGTGGAGGACTACCTGTATTCCAGTTATATGTTCATTTGGGGAGGTGTCTTTTA